TCCCAAACCCCTTTGGACGGGCAAGGACCACATGGTCATCTGTTCTGAGTCTCTGCCTGATGCCCAAACCCCAGACTGCCTTTCTGGGTTGAGGATGAGTCAGACAGTCCCCCTAACTGTAGGGACAGCATCTTAGGAAGTCATTCATTTGAGCAGAAATCTGCCTCCTGCAGCTTCCACACTTTGGTCTGATTGTACCCCTAGGAGTCACAAAGACTAAATTCTCATTTCTCTTCTCCTAAATGACAGTCCTTCAAATATTTGGCATCACAGAAAGTGGAAGGGAACTTAGAGGAGGCTGAAGGCTAAATCTGCATTTTGTTAATGATGAAAACTAGGCCCAAAAAGGAATGAATGACCTTATGGTTGCACAGTGAGTCAGCCTGACCCAACCTAGGTCTTCTGACACCGCCCAGGGCACATTTCTTACCTTCCAGGTGTCCTTTTCTCCAGGCCAGACTCTCCCCTTCTCTAAATCTTATTTTAATCTGTTCAGACTAATTTTTCTTCTAATTGTATGTGAACATTCTGTCTCTCCTTGAGTACACCCTGTAATTTAAGCATTGTCTTGCCCCCAGAGGCCCAGCGTGGTACAGGATGGTCAAGAAATACTTACTGGATGAAGGAACAATCAAAGTACCCACTGAGTACTCAGGTGTGCTACACGCTTCTGTTCCCTTCATCCCCACCCAGAGCTTCATTTAAATGTTGAAGAAAACCAGGTGAGGCCTGAGTGTGTTGTCTGGCCTCTGGAAGAGGTGAAGTCATGGCTCCTAGGCAGCAGGTATACCCCTGCACTACTCTTGTTAAAGCACTGAAACACTGTACTTGTGTCCCAGTGGTAAATAATCTCTGCCTAAGCTGTCCGAGTCCCCCCACCCCACCCTGTCTTCCTGGGAGCCCTCCCCACCATCAGCTCTAAGGAGTAGGCATTCAAGCCCCAAATCCTTTTGCTGTAAACTTAAGCCTGGGCTTATGCAGCAAGCCCACTTCACCTTGGGTACAGATGGCTCTTGGGATTCAGAATCTTTTAGATTTTAGAAAGGACACAAAGGTCATATAATATATAAGGAAAACCACAGTAGGGTTTGAAGTGGCACCTGGAATCATGAAATCAGACACATTAATATTTCTGTAACAAAACATATAAATGTTCATGCTATGTAGGACATATAAAAACTATAAATAGCCTCATGTCAGGTTTTGTGTGTTATTGAATTACAAAGAACTTTTGGTCTTCAGAGTTTTCTGGAGTTTGAAATTGTTGGATAAAAGACTGGACAACATGCTACTGCCTTTTAAGGATGATTTGTGTATTACTTAGCAGGAGCATGAACAAGCCAGAGAACTTGCTGGTAGGGGCTGGGATGGGGTGATAGAGGCCTGGAAATAGCACATGAGGGACGGCTCCAGGGGACTCCAGGAAGGCTTTGATTTGACCAAGGCTGTGACCATCCAGCTGCCCTTAGCACTGCCAACACAGAAATCTGATAGCTCTGAGGAACAGTGTGGCCGGGCCTGGTGCCAAACAGGGTTCAAGGCAGTGCAAAGGTGGGCAGCAGGCCTTTGAGACCCTGGTTGGGCACAGTCATATTCTGTAGGCACTTGTCACCTCCTTATTTAGGCCTAGGGCCTTGGGGCAGCTGGAGGGTTAGCACCCTGTGTCGTAACTGCAGGGACAGACCGTTTAGTTGGTGCTTTTGGCTCAGTTCAGCCCCATCTATGCCACTGCTACTCCTGCCAGCTCAAGGTTATCTCCCTGGTGATGTACTGCCTGAGGCTTGGCATTTGCCCACCCATGCTCTCTTGCCACTGTTGCAGCCAAGAACAGACTCAGATTCTCTGGGGCCCTAGTCACCCAATGAACATGTATTTATTGAGTACCTACTATGTGCTAGGCCTGCAGTTGGGCCTTGGGGACTTTGTTCTCATTTTCTTTTCCTCTGGAATGCACACCTCTCCCACTGCTCAAGTCCTATCATCCCTCAAATTTCACTTCTGCTCTGAATCATGATTGTTATCCTTCCTCTGAATGCCTGTAGCATTTACTGCTGTGCCCTTCCTTGGCTTTAAATTCACCTTGTGACCTTTCTTGTATCCTTGTCTTACGATTTGTTGCTTGAATTTTTATTTGAAAGTTCTGTGTTTTGAATCAGTTTGGGCTGAAACCAAGGGTCCAATCTTTCCGCAAAGTAGCACCTGCCCCTCCTTCCTTGAACATGTGTGGAATGCAGGGGTGACCCCAGGGGAGGGCTGTAAAGCCCTTTAAAGGTGAAGTGAAAATGGTGACTGGGGGCTTTAAATATTTGCACTGAGCATTCCTAAATAACAGCAAGATTTATAGTTTAGCACCTTCTCATTACAAAGGCTATTTAAGTGACTGAGGGAGGCTGTGTAATTTCTGTACCTGGGAAATTAAAAAAAAATGTATCAACTATCTTACTTGAGCTTAGTATCCATTCCACATGCTTTAATAATCATTCAACAGCATTTGTAAGAGACAGGATTTTCCTCTCGCTAGAGTGATTTAGGTTGGAGCCTGCTGGAAAACCCCTGAGGTTTCTTTCTTTCTTTTTTTTTTTTTAAGATTTTATTGGGGAATTGGGGAAGGGGAACAGATAAGTTGCTGTCCTTTTGTTCTTCAGTCTAGTTGTGGAGGACGTAGCTTCACTGGCTCCCGTTGGTATTGTGATCATTGCGCTCTTCCTGGGTGAGGCAGTCACTTGCTGGTCATTGGATGGCGGCTCTTGGCAGCTCATGCCAGCCGCCGGCTGCCCACACTGACTGCCAGCCACTCATGGTAGCTTATGGCAGCCCACTGCAGCAGGGACTGCAGCCTACGCCTTTGCTGGCGACTCATGGCAGCCCAGCTCCAGGTTGAGCTGTTGTTCAGCATCTTAGCTGTAGAGGGCGCAGCGTCACTGACCCTCATATGTGGGATCCGAACCGGGACCCTGCTGCTCAGAGCTGGCATCCCAAGCCAACTCCTAACCAATATGCCACTCGGCTGGCCCCCCCTGAGGTTTCTTAAAGTTGCATGGGGTGTGAAGTGGGGCCACAGACTAAAGAAGTTCAGCCATTCTCCCACTAGGTTCTATTTCTTGGTACAAAGAGGAGCTGCAAAGGGAGAAAGATGTTTGTTGACAGCTTAAAAGATCCCTCTGTGCTCCTTTTCCTCCTTTCCTTGGGTGTTCGGCATACGAAGCCCCATCCTGGTAGGTTATTTACTCATTTATTTGTTTATTCATTCATTCAAAAGCTAGTAAGAACTGGCTGTTCAATTCAAAAATTTTTCTTGCCAGAATTAAACCACTAGTAGCTTGAAATTGACTGCAGTGGGAGTATTTACACCATGGAAATTGGCAAATGCTACAGGTCAGGGCTCCTTAATTTTGTCTCAAAAACAAAAGCAAAAACAACCACCTTCCTCCTACTGTTTATTGGTGACTTAACATGTGCTGGAACTGTGCTAAGCCCCAGGGGTACAACAGTGAGCAAGACAGCCTGGTCTCTGCCCACAGATAGCTTAAAGTCTAGTACTGCATTGTTCAATATGGTAGCCGTTAGCCACTCATCACTACTGTGGATATTTAAATTAATCGAAATTAAATATAGTCAGAAAACCACTTCCTCATTCACACTAGCCATATTTCAAGTGCTCAATAGCCACATTTGGTTAGTGGCTACCATATTGGACAGCACAGATATAGTATATTCTCCATTACTACAGAAAGTTCTGTTGTTCCATTACGTACTGTGTAGAAGAAGGAGAAGGAAGAAGAGGAACAGGCAAGGCTGATGGGTCATATATGCAGACCCAGACTAGACCTTCAAAATGATAGAACCAAGTGTTCCAGACGGTAGCTTTTAAACATTTTTGATCAAAACCTACAGATTTTGATTAAAATCTGATATATATTATATATGTATAGATTAGATCTATCTATCTATCTATCTATCTATCTATCTATCTATCTATCTATCTATCTCAAGCATTTCAAGAAACAGAGTAACAGTAGTATGCACCCTTACTATATGAGAGGACTCTGATTTAGTTTATTCTACCCTATTCTATTTACTTTATTAAAAATATATTTATATGCTGTTAGTCGACTCTTCTGCTCATACCCCTCAGTTTGAAAAATACTGCTTTTGATGTTAGTGGAGGATGGGACAGGGTGATGGGGATAGAGAACAGAAGAGTGATGCAGGTAAGGAAGGCTTCCTGGAAGAGATGCAGTGAAGTGGCTTTTGAAAGGGAAAGAGGGAAAGGAACAGTAGCAAAGTAGCAAAGGGAACTAACTTGGGGGGAGGACGTGAGTCACAAGGGGCTGAAATTCATTCCCCACCATTGGGTGGCTTCAAAGCCTCTGCCCCATCCCCCCACTCCCCACTTCCGCTTTGGCTCCCCAACCCTTTTATCTGGCCTTGAGTGTAAATCATTAGCTTTAGCAGTGGACACAAAGCAGGCCTCAAACACAGGCTGTGTGGGAATGGCCTAGAGGAAGCTCAACAATGTAAATAAATGTCTTCAGATTGCTGATGGGGTGGGTGATGGAGAAAGGTCAGCCAATTAGACCCAGCTGCTTGGGGTAGGGCGGAGGTGGAGGTAGGGGAGAAAACTGTGCTTTAGGCTCAGGGCATTCTAATACTTCAAAATTCTCAAAGGTTACCCTAAATTCCTCCTGCTATGGCACCAGTCACTTCATCATGTTTTGTTTTGTTTTTTAAACAGGAGAAAAATTTACTGTATATTGGGATATACATGTTCTCGACCTATATTTAATTGTTGTTTATCAGAAACTGAATAGATACAAAAGAATAATTATACTCTGTGTACAAGGCATGATGAATTACAATAAAATTGACAACAATGCGGCCACCACCCAGGATAAGAAATAGTGTTTTGGCTACCTTTGAGGTCTCCTGTGTGCCAGTCCATGCTGTTATACTGCTCCTTCCTGGAGGAAACCACTACCTTAAATTTTGGGTTTCATTACCTTGCTTTTCCTTGTACTTTGTCACATATGTTGATATCTTCAATCTGTGGTCTTGAATGCTTTGAGTTGATATAAATGGAATCACTGAATTCTTCTGCAACTTGGTTTTTCTCACTCAGTGTGATTTTCTGAGATGCATCCAACTTGTTGTGTGTAGCTATATTTTATTCTTTTCCACTGCTGGATGGTATTGTTATTATTTTAAAAAAGAAATCATAAGAAGGAAACTTGGCTGTACAATGGCATACATCTTCAGTATTTGTTGTTTAAGAGGACGCTGTTCCACATGGCCCTTCAGATATAGCCCCCTTCTCTCCTGTGGTTCCATTTTCCAGTTCTAGAAATTCTCTCCATCCTGCCCATGAATGGAGAAAGAGTGGAGGATCCACTTCATCATGTTCTGACCAGGGCTTTTGGGAGAAACACTCCGAGACCTGAGGATCACTGTAATTCTAATTCCTGGAGATGATCCTGTATAGAGGACTCCTCCCCATTTTATCCACAGGCATATGGGGCGGAGACCAGCAGTGCAGCTAAATCCTACACAGTGCTCCCTCTATACAGATTAGGTGAATAATCCCTCACGTATAAAATCTTATGGAGGAAGGAGTTTTATGTAGCTCTAGTGGGCAGAGCTGGGTCTAGAAGATTAGAAGGAAGCAGATTTTAGCCCAGTAGAAGGGGAAATAATATTCTAATAACTAGAGTGCCCAGGTGGGCACTATATTAAAATCACTTAAAACCTATATTAAAGTGTTCACACAGAGGCCAGATGTCAGGAAGGCTATAAAGAAGATTCCTATTCCAAGAGGCCAAATTCATTCCTTTATTGGCCACCTATTATATACATTGTGCTAGGTGCTGGGGTCACACCTGAGGGCAAAACAGACAGAAATCTCTAATCTCCTGGAGCTGACATGGGTGGTGAGTGGGAGGAGTGGGAAGACGGGCACTGAGTGACCTGGAAGTCCTCCTCCAATTCCAGGATTGTAGAATGTGGATCTGGGTGGAACTTCATGACTCACTTTCACCTGCATTATTTCAGGTGATGTCATAACAACCCTTAAAGTCATTAGGGCAGGCCAGTATCTTACACCTAATAAATGTGTTCTTAAGAAAGGGATATCTTTATTTTACTCATGAAAAAAATGAGGCCCAGAGTGTGGCTGACTCAGGGCCATGGGGGGTAGTGAGAAGGTTGGAACAAGGAATCAGATTTTAGAGCTTCCCAGTTTTTCTCACTCTGGTGACTCAGACCAGGTGAGCCCAGAGTGTCACTCCCCTTACCTCCCCTCACCCAGGAGAGCTGAGGCTTTTCCCAGGGCTGGGAGAGGGGAGAGGCCCCGGGCCAGGGTGAGGGGACTAGCTGGGCGGCATGGTTTGTGCACTACCTTTCTCATTCCTGGTGACCAGTGAGCATAACCAGATTGTGACAGGCCTTCCAGAGTGGAAGGGGGGAAGGGAACAATTATGGAACCTGGGAAGAGGACACCTGAATTTTGGTGCTCAAATACGTGTAATAATATAAACGTTTACTTTATATAGCACTCAGTGTGGTCCAGATGGGGGTGCTAAAAACTACTTTGCAGATGTTAATTCACTGAATTCCCCCAACAACCCAAAGAAGCATGCACTATTTTTAGCTCTATTTTAGGAACAAGGAAACAAAGGCACTGACAGATAAGGGGCATGCCTATAGTCACCCAGCTAGTGTGGCTCCCCAGGGATTTGAGTCCGGGCAGTCTAGCTCGACCCCTGCCTCTCAGAGACTCTGGCTGCCGCCACTGCTGGGCGCGGAGGTGCCTCCCTCCCTCGGCGGGCACCTGGCCAACCCTTTGCCCTGGCACCTGCTGCTCCCTCCTCCAACCTAATCGCATCAAAGGCCAGCTCCAAGGCCTCAGTCCTTGTGGGCGGGGCTGAGGGGCGAAAAGGAACTGCAAGAACATAAAGAAGCTTTGTGTCAGTCTGGGACTCCCCTGAAAGCCACAGCCACGGTTGGAACAGGATGGGGTGGGGTAGGAGGGAGAACCTAGAGAAAGCGTCAAAGGCGGGGCGCGAGGGGCTAGGTTGGCTTAGCCAGAGCGGGGACGGGCAGGAAGCGGGACTCTATATCCCCAAGTTCCCCTTATACAATAGAACTCTCTGGAGCTGGGGAAGCTGCTCCTGGCTCTGCGCCGCCCGCCGTCTCAGCTCATTTCCCGAGGCAACTGCGTGGGGAAGCCGCATTCCTGCCGGCTCCCCTCTTTCTCTCCGCGGCGTCCTCCCACCCTCCCTCAGGTAGCGGCTGACAATGCACGTGTTAGGGCGCTACCGCCCCTCCCACCCCCGACTCCGCATGCCTCCGTGGAGTCTGCGGGTGGCGCCTGGGTGTCCCCAGCCTCGCCAGTCCAGTGGCCCCGCGAAGGCTAAGCCCGCACCCAGAGCAGGGCCTCTGCGCCTCCCACCGCCGCCTCGCTCGCACCCTACTAACTAGAAAAGTCTCCTGTTTCCAGTTTCCTGGGACTCCTGGGAGAACCCGGGCACCTGCACCCTTTTTTCAGTCTACTAATATTTAAGAAGGGGAGCTCTTTTTCTATTATAACACTCAAGAGGCCAACCTCGTCGCATCAACCATGTAGCGTTATGTTACATGAGAGAAATCAGCCTCGAAAGGCTACATGTTGTAGCATTTCTTTCTTTCTTTTTTTTTTTTAAGATTTTTATTGGGGAATTGGGTGATGGGAACAGCGCTGGGGAATTGGGGGGAAGGGGAACAGACACGTCTAGCTGTGGAGGACGTTGCTTCACTGGCCCAAGTTGGCACCATCATTGCACTCTTCCCGGGAGAGGCTTCTGGACAGCCGCTCACGCTGGCTGCTGGCTACACACAGTAGCTCATGGCAACCCACTGCCCCAGGGGCTGCAGCCTAGCTGTCGCCGGTGACTCATGGCAGCCCAGCTCCAGGGTGAGCTGTTGTTCAGTATCTTAGCTGTGGAGGGCAGTGTCACTGGCCCTCATATGTGGGATCCGAACCGGGGTGTCCCAAGCCAGTTCTTAACCATCGCGCCACTCGGCCGGCCCTGTAGCATTTCTTTGAAATGACATTCTGGACCAGGCAAAACTACAGAGACAGAAACTACAGAAAACAGATCAGGGATTAATGGAGGATAGGAGTGAGAGGAAGGTTTGCCACTCAGGGTGAAGGAACCGGTCTGTTTCTTGTCTGTAGTGGTATCATAATTATGGGACTTTGTGCATTTGTCAAGACTCATAAAACTGTATACCAAAGTGAATGAATTTTACTGTATGTAAGTTAAAAAAAGAAATTTAACATTTTCTAGTAGTCACATTTATAAGAGAAAAATAAAAGGCGACAAATAGACTGCCCACTTATTTTAGAACTAGAACACTATGATCAGATAATTGCTCCCAAAGATTCCTGTGGGTCGGACCATTCTGATTATTTCTCTGACCCTGTTGCCTTTTAAGGTGACCATACCCACCTTGCCTCTGGTGGTCACCTGATGCCAACTGGCCTCTGCCATGCTGGGATCACATCACTGCTATTAAAACCAAGAAGCCCATTTCCATGGTAGCACTTCCATTTCCCTCCTGGAGTATGCAGATAAAAATCAGCATAGCACCTTTTAAGAAACACATCTTTTAACTGTATGTTTCTCAATACCTCAGTGAAGGGAATATCCCCTAGGCTCTCTTGGAGAAATTATTTAGGGGTGAGTGAATGGATTGTACATGATAAATCCGATCCAACATTCCTCTCTCCCTAATTCTTTGGATTCCGTCCTCTGAATCATGCAGTCAGATTTCTGGTAACTCCGTTTTATTTATTATACACCACTAATGAGTCCAGGTTTTCGCCAGTCAATGAAGAAAGATAGAATCAGCCCCAGTTGCTGGAGTCAGCACACTGAGTTTGGAATCTCTCAATTCGTGTAAATAAACCCATATAAATAAATTCAGCCCAATCTAAAATTGTGTGTCTTCCTCTCTGGTTTAGCATCCTTAGGATCTAACCCTATACATGTTTCCCAAGTTTGTGTCTGTAGAAACTAGCAAAATCTTTGGGGTTATGCATCTTTTCCTCTAGGGTCAGATTTTGTATTGTCCCCTTACTTATGCATCCGAGGCATCCATTGCACGTTAGCTACCTCAGGTGAGGCTCTTATAGTCTCCAAGCAAGACAGGACCAGCCTCATTAGACAGAGCAGGAGGGGCTGCCTCTGCCAGCCAGCGAAATTTAGGAGGGTCTGGGCAGCCAGCATCCTCAAATATATCCCAAAGTCCCTTTGCCCATTTTTAGGATTCCTCCTCAATGCCTTGGCTTTTATGTAAGATGTGCTTGTAGTTTCAATTTATTAGGTAATTCAACAACCTGCAGCCTCAGGCTTCAGTTACATCAGCTCTGTGACTATAGAAGTTGAGAGATTAATTTAGGAAGTCTTAGAAGCACCCTGGTCCTCTTGAACCAAAAATTTAAAACTTCCTTTCTTTAAGCTCACCCATGCAGCCAAAGAGGCCAGACCATACCAGAACCCTTGATTCCCCGCCCCCCCCGCCCATTATGGTATATTGTATAATAACAGCTGTGTAGTTTGCCAAAGCCTTACCTTCCAAGTTGCCCCAGGTAGTAAATTAAGATACTGGTCTTGCCATTACATTTGGTTAACTGGGAACGAATGCACTGCCTTCAAACTCAGTCAAGTCAGATAACTGCTCCCAGGTCTCCTCCTTGAAGGCCTCATGCCTGACTCTAGTTTCAGGAAACACAAACCACTCTAACTGGTGGGCCTCAGGAAGCTGCCTGATCCGTGGATATACTCCTGCAGCTATGACCCGTGGGTCAGGAAGCCACTACTTCCTCCTGGTCCAGTTGCTTCTAAGTACTCAAAAAGCAAATGACTGGACACTAGACATTGCCCCAGAAAAACTCAACAGCCCCATGACCAGGGCTGCCAGCAGAAACAACCAATACAGTAGGAGAGGATCTCTGTCTCACTTCTACCTTCCAAATATCATTTAATTGCATCTTATTAGTGGAACATAATTCACATCCTAGCTGCAAGGGTATCTGGGGAATGTACTTTTTAGCTTTATGGCCTCTGGAAAGGTGTGAATTTGGAATGGAGATGTGTTAATCCTGTCCACTGTCTTTGGACTTTGCAGCCAGACTGCCTGGGTTTGAATTCTGCTTTGCCATTTATTTAGCTGTGTGACCTTGAGAAAATCGGTTCACCACTCTGAGTTCCAGTTTCTTCATCAGTAAAATGAGAGATATAATACTATCCATTTCATAGGGTGGTTGTTAAGATTAAACAAATTAATATGTGTAAAGTACTTAGCATAGTGCCTGACACATAGAAAGCATTCAGTAAATGTTATTATTATTATAATTGCCAATACTGTTATAATCCTTTCAA